AAACCCTGCTATTCCCCCAAATATGGAAAGCTATCATGGGTTACATGTTTCTAATCAAGTATAAAAGACTGGATTTTCCTCCTAAATTTAATAAGACAAATTCAAATATGTGAGAAACTACTATAAAAAATAAAACTTTACATCAAGGAAGCTGTGACATAAAACAATTATTAATAACCTCAAAAGAACTGAAAAAGGCACTGGTACCACAAACAAATTTTACTTACATCACAAGCACACCACTCTTGGAACATAAGTAAAATATTCTTCAACTGCATCTGTATAGCAATGGCAGCCTCCCAGTCAGGATCAACTTCAATGTGTTGCCCAACCTGTCTTCTGATTTCTTCCATTCCCTGCAAAAAAATATTGGTCAACATATACCTACATGGCCTTCTTTCTTTGCTCTACTGGCAAAATATAAAATTGTCGGGATTTTCATTCACGTATGTATAACGTTTTAACGTGGTTGCTATACTGGGTCAGGGTACTGGGGTTCAAATCCCAGCTCTTGGAAGTATAGCTCAGAGGTAGAAGATTTGACTGCAAATTCCAGCTGTCTGGGATTTCTAGCTGTGTGACCCCAGGCAAATTATTTCTAGACTTTAATTCCCTTACATGTAAAATGAGAATAACAGTAATTACCTCATAAGATTGCAATAAGGCTCAGAAGAGATAATGCATGTAAAGTGCTTACTACGCATTCAATAAACATTAACAGTAGTAAGCATTCAATAAACATTAACAGTAATAGCAGTAGTAAACTAAGATATATAGAAAGATCTACTAAAGTAGGATCAGTTAGTCAACGTTTAAATCTTATTTCTACCTTGCTAAATAAATTCTCTCTCATACTGAAACCACAATTTGCTTTAAAAAGGAAGAAGAAAAAACCAGAGTTAAATTTCTTAAACTAAATTACTCTTACCAATGCACCGAAGAATTATCATACCTGCATACAGGTAAGAATCTTCAAAAAAGATCGAAAACCTTCAAGGAACTGCATTCTTAATCTTTCTGTCCATATTGTGGGCTTGCTGATCAAGATATACCTATAATTTCAAGGAAGAAAGAAAGATTTTAATTTCTTATGAGATAATTTTAAGGTTCTCAGGGTTATACACAATGTTATTTTATCAAAATTATAGATTCTAATTTCTTACAATAATTAGCAGCTTTGGGCAGAGCTAGAATTATTTATTCTGCTTTATTTTAAATACAACGGCAAAATGTGAATGCTCTACGAGAGGCAGATATCAAGCTAAGCTTGACTCTCCACACAATGTCCCCTCAGAGGTCAGTCTGATTAAGTGAACCTAGAACCAAACTAGCCTGTCACAGCTGACTCTGGACAAGCACAGTACAGATTTCCTAGGACTGTTCATACCCATCACCCAAAGAGCCAGCTGACAGCCTTTCAGCCTCGGGAGATTCAGAAAAGATTTTCTACCTCCAGATTCCCATAACCCAGACCCTGGGAGAAGGATATAAGCACCTATGTCACATTGGCTTACACATTAGGCTGTACTAGTTTCAAGAGATAAACAGGCTCATTTTAGCCCACAATTTTGTAAGATCAATATTTCCTTTGGCTCTAAAGACATATCCAGTGGAAACAAAGTTTATTATGAAATGACTTCTCAGCTGGGCATGGTGCCTAAAATCCCAGCACTTTGGGAGTCTGAGGAGGGGGGATCATTTGAGACCAAGAGTTTGAGACCAAACTGGGCAACACAGTGAGAACCTCTTTCTACAAAAAATTAAAATATTAGCCAGGTATAGTCCCTGTGCCTGTAGTCCCAACTACTTGTGAAGCTAAGGTGGGAGGATCACGTAAGCCCAGGAGGTCAAGGTTACAATGAGCTATAATTAGGCCACTGTACTCCAGCATAGGTGACAGAGTGAGTCCCTTTTTATTAAAAGAAAGGAAGGAAAGAAGGAAGGGAGGGAGGGAGGAAAGAAGGTAGGGAAGGAGGAAGGGAGGAAGAAAGAAAGAAAAATAAAAAAAAAAGAAATGATTTCTCAGGAAGTAATCATTAACAAGTATTAAAAGTTATTTTGCATTTAACCAATCAAAATAAATTCCTGTTATATACCAGGTATTAGAAACACAAACATGAACAAGATACACCCTGTCCTAAATTCAAAGAGTAGTGGGGAAAACAGATATATATAGTGGATGCTGTAATCCAATGTTAAGCACTATAAAAAAATGTACAAAGGAAGTAATGTAGGAACATAAAAGACAAGGCAACAAATACAGGAAAAAAAATTTTTTTTGAATTGTAAAGATAGTAGAGATTGTGGTATAATTATTGCCACTTTTTAGATATCCATTAACATTGTAAATGTACATTAAAAATACAATCATCAAAACCTTTATCAAGAAAATAACTTTGAAATGTGTTGAGTACCATCTAAATCTTTCTTTTAAGGTAAAGGTAAAAACGACTAAAGTTTAAAATCTGTCACAATGAACAAACGTCATCAAAGTTTGGTTGTTTTCTAGAGCACTGCTACTCAAAAGTATGGCCCACTAACCAGCAGGATCGGCATCACCTGGGTATTTTTCAAAAATGCAGAATCCTGGGCTCTAATCAGACCTGCATTCACTGAAGAGAATTTTCATTTCTAGTGTTCTCACATAGTTCATAAGTGACCTCTGTAGTCAACCCAGCAAGTAAAGAAGATATAAGGGATAGGAAGAAATAAAAGGGTAAGGAAGGAAAGGAAAGGAAAAGGAGTCTATAGATAAAAATCGGTGGCAAAAGCAATAGAAGAGGGAGAAAGATAAGGACAGGGATTGATTTGGTTTAAGAGCATGCTATACTTTTCAGAAATGGAACACAGGAACAGGTTAGAGTAATAAAAGGATAATATTATTGTTCCTTAATAGAACCAACGTTCAACTGCATCTCTTTTTAAGTTTTATTTTATTTTTTTTGAGACAGAGTCTCACTGTGTTGCCCAGGCTAGAGTGCCGTGGCGTCATCCTAGCTCACAGCAACCTCAAACTCCTGGGCTCAAGCGATCCTCCTGCCTCAGCCTCCCGAGTAGCTGGGACTACAGGCATGAGCCACCATGCCCGGCTAAATTTTTTCTATATATTTTTAGTTGTCCGATTAATTTCTTTCTAATTTGTAGTAGAGACAGGGTCTCGCTCTTGCCCAGGCTGGTCTCGAACTCCTGAGCTCAAACAATCCGCCCGCCTCGGCCTCCCAGAGAGCTAGGATTACAGGCGTGAGCCACTGCGCCCGGCCTAAGTTTTATTTCCATAATAAATTAGCGACTGAGAAACAAATTACCCCCATCAGATACCTCCCACAGAGCAAGTGACAACTAAATTAACAGAGGTAGAATATTTAGAAAAAGGAAGGTAGCAATCCCTCCCTTCTATGCATTACTAGGCAGACCTCAGCTGGAGTACTGTGTTCATCTCTTGGCACATGAATAGTACACATTCAATTGGAACAGGTTCAGTAGAGAAGGACGATAATTTAGAAGGAATTTTAAACAATACGAAATGGGAACAGTTAAAGAAATGAATGCAACTTAACCTAGAAAAGATCTGGCAGATATGATTGTTTTAAATATTAATACTTCTTCAAGTTAAATGAGAATTGAAGTTGTTCAGAAAGGACAATGGGAGAGCTAAAAGCAGAAAATGAAAGCTACAAAAAAACAGAGTTCAATATACAATAAGCAACTTTCTAACAGTGGGCAGAGGCTACCCAAAGTTGGAATGTGTTGCTTTGAGAGAATGAAAATTTCCTGAGGCAGGTTGAATACTGAATGGAGTATCTACTAGTATCAACAAACTTATTTCATGCTGAGGTACAGTCAAATAAGTAGAGTATAAAGCTAGACCATAGAAAACAAATTTTGAGGCCAGGCGCAGTGGTTCACGTCTGTAATCCTAGCACTCTGATTTTGAAAGAATTTAGACTTTATTCTGGAAACAAAATATATCAAAAATATTTGTGGTTATTTCTAACTTATTTAAAAATAGGGCTTTAGGAAGAAGTAGTAAATAAATATATAGGGAAAGAATTACGATATGACAGCAGAATTTCTACAATGAGAGACTGAGAAAAGGGTACAACAATTACTTGCTAAACAAAGGGTATATGTGATCGGTGTTTTAGGCCAGGTTTTAGAGCAGGTTTTGTCATTGCTGTTTATGTATACTGTGAGTCTACAAGATATAGCAAAAGGAATATGAGCTTTACGGATAAACAGTGCTTAGGATCAAATCTCAGTTCTGCCGCTTACTAGCTTTGTGACCTTAGGTAAATCATTATAATCTATAAATCAAGATTATATCACCTACCTTATAAGAATGCTGCACGAATAAAATGAGGTAAAATAAGCAAAGCTCCTTAGCATGTAGCAGTTACTAATAAATTTCACAGGATCCTCGTGAGAGTGAATTACATAGTACCTGCTGAACAGGTGCTCAAAATAATTAATTTTCTCTTCACCTTGTCACTAGAGATGTCTATATTTAGGTGAGGGTATAGCGGAGGAATTGTAACAAACCAGAGATCTTGAAGTTTTACCGTATGGGTAGGTATTTAGGGATGTGGTGGTTCTCAATTATTCATTGCAGAGAATAACCACAGACCCATAAAATACAAGAAAACAAGTGATTATGCACCACTTATCTGGTTGTAAAAATAACTCAGTTCTAAGAATACTTCACAGTAAGGAGAGCCACAGACAGTAGAGAGTTTTTTCTGTAAAGTAAACCAAGGATATACACTGACTTAACAATAATAACTTTAAATACTGCCATTAGGAGTTTTTGTTTATTTTCATAACATGTAATTTATGCATAATTTGGCTAAGAAACAAATTTGAATCACAATGACTACACATTGATTCACTACTGAATTCACCCACCATCTCTACTTATACTGAAGATAAAACAATTTACTGAACTTTAAAGAAAGAGTTCTATGCCATAATTATATTTAGAAATTGAGGAATCTGAAAAGGTCTTAAAACATTTTCTTCAGGAATATCAAGGATCCACTGCATAGTTCCAGAAACCTGTCAAGTCTATTTTTTAAAAAGACTAAATTATTTCTAAGTTGGATTGGAAACCTATTTGTTTCCATCCCTCTATCGGTCACTAGAAGTGGATAAAATTAGAGTAATTTTTTTCCCTAAGACTAGAAATAATTATATAGCTGGGAGCTCTATTTTGTCTTAACATATTCTTAAAAGTAATTTTTGAAGCCTATGCTTTATTGAATAGTTGATCTGTCTTAACCCTTATATTAACAATTTCACCATCTATATCTAAAATAAATGGAAACTTATTTCCTTTTAGGTCCAATGATCACAAATGTGATCTATCATGTGATTCCAACTTTAGCTTAAAAGGAAACTCTCCATCTTCCTTAGGGAGAAAAATTTAATGAAGAAACTCCTGATGAACATCAATAAATTGGTATATATAGTCATCCTCGGTATCCATGGGGGATTGGTTCCAAGTCCTCCCATGAATACCAGAATCCACAGACGCTCAAGTCCCTGATATAAATGGCACAGTATTTTCACATCCTCTGTATATTTTAAATCACTTCTAGATTACTTATATACCTAATACAATGTGAATGCTATGTAAATAGTTGTTATGCTATATTGTTTAGGAAATAATAACAAGAAAAAAGTCTGTACATGTTCAGTAAAGACAATTTTTTTATCAAATATTTTTGATCCACAGTTGGCTAAATCCAGATGTGGAATCCATGGATATGGAGGGCTGACTGTATATGAAAAAGGGATTTATTTTGTTTTTGTTTTTTTTTTTTTGAGACAGTCTTCCTCTCTTGCCTGGGTTAGAGTACCATGGCGGCAGCCTAGCTCATAGCAACCTCAAACTCCTAGGCTCAAGCGATCCACCTGCCTCAGTCTCCTGAGTAGCTGGGACTACAGGCACGTACCACCATGCCCAGCTAATTTTTTGTCTATTTTTAGTTGTCCGGCTAATTTTCTTTCTATTTTTAGTAAAGACAGGGTCTTGCTCTTGCTCAGGCTGGTCTCAAACTCCTGAGCTCAAGAAATCCTCCCGTCTCGGCCTCCCAGAGTGCTAGAATTACAGGCGTGAGTCACCGCGCCCAGACTGAAAAAGGGACTTAAAAAGAAATTTACATCAATAGATCATCTGAAACTATGCACAAAGAGACTATCCAAGAAGGACACAACCAAAGGATGTGACTGCAAGTGAGTGAAAGGTATGGTAATTACAGTGGAGATTCACTCGGTGACCCCCAGAAGACCCCAAGTTCTTGTGACAGGCTTCTCCTCAGTACCTTCTTTATTAACCTGGTTTTACAACTCAATAAGAAACCATCGCTGAAGACATCTATTAACATGAAGCAGTAACAGCTCTTTGTACTTGCCATCATTATAAAGAGAATCCTAGATAACCAAAAAGATCAGATGTTTCCTTATAAGACAGAGCAAATAAACACACTGTGTTTAACAAGTGCCTTAACCTTTTGACTTCAGCAACTTACTTTAGGTCACATATTACTGCATATACTCTTCCCAATTTGTCCTGGCTATAACCCTGGAAGTTGAATTTATTGTTCCTGTCCAGGTACTCTGGTAAAACTTCTAGCAGAGTTTCAGTAATGACAGAGATAACATTCTGCTCTTCAATAAGATGTCGAGCCTGCAGAATATTTCAAGAATATTGTCTTTAGCATTAATTCAACATAGTATGAACTTAATTTATTCATTCATTTGATTGGTAAGTCATTTTTAATAAGTGTTGTTAAACATAGTCCTTAGTCTCATAGGACAGCAACTATTTCTAAGAAGTTATTTTCTAAAAGTAAAAATTCCCTACTTCTCAGTAACTGGCAAACATGTATCCAGACTCCCCAAGCCCATTATACAGGTAATCTAGACAGATGTTTATCATATGTAATCACACAATGAGCAAAGCAGAACAAAGATATACTTCATGGCTTTTATCACATTACTATCTATGCTGGAATCTCCCCTTCACCCCAATCCAAATTCTCTTCCCATCCTTTTCTCTGGCCTTTTGAAAAGGGAGAGTAGAAAGAGTTAACCAAACTATCTAAATGAAGCCGGAAAACAAGCAGTACAAAAAGGAAACAGAATCTTCCACTCTCCCCCCAGGCTTATGTGGCACCATCTCACACAAATGTTTGATAGGCACACCCCCCTGCTTCTTAGTTTTATCTTTATCTATTCCCCTCTCCACAACAATAACTAAAGAATAAAATATTCTTTTGTAAAAAAAAAAAAAAAATAGTTTTGGTATCGAAAAGGCAGTGCTCCTAAGTTACTCCAGAAAGTGAGAAACTAGCTCTGGGTATCTATCATCTGCCGGGATCAGGACATTTGGGCAAAGGCAGTGCCTAGTTACCTAGTCCTTGGCTACCACTCAAGTATTATTCACATGCAGATACTACTGAAGTGTTATTCAATTTTCCAAATAAAAATAGCTCAACTTAGTGATTCTAAGTGATTGTTTTCATTTAATTCAACAATAAGTGAAATTCTTACAAAGCAAAACAAGTTTTACTTAGAAAGACTGAACAGAAATAATACATACCAGAGTAGGAACAGTAAACATCTGAACTGAGAGTGCAGTTACAGAGATACTTCTGTCATGATCATCACTGATATATTCTTTCTGCAGCTGTTTATAATACTAAAATATATAAGCAGAGATTCAATTATAAATTACTAAAAACTTTTAAAATCCTAATTTTAGTAACTGCTGCAAGTTCGTTTCTATCTATGACAAATAATATAATTCCTATTTATTAAGGCAAGATCACGATAAACAAAAATAGAAAGAGAATAACAAACAAAAGACCAAATATGAACTCACCTATCCAATCTAGCAGAGTTGGAAGTAAGAACTGTTAAAATATTCTCTCTCTCTCTCTCTCTCTCTCTCTCTCTCTCTC